CATTAAATACTAATTTATGATAGTAGCTTACTCCAAACTAAGTTAGTGCAGTGAACCAGGCAGTGTACATTTTCAATATAGGCTTTCCTTTTGACCTTGAATACATGCACAAAGTGTTACACTACTATAAGTGCATGTTTTCATGACAAAACTTGCCTCTCCTTACATAAGCATGAAAAACTCTCAGACACAAAAGTATAATACTATACACAGAGAAATATGAAAGAAATCACACCTGACTTCTATTTAAAATAACAAACATCAGCTGTTTCTAAAAATCAAGCAAAAAGATGCCTAATTTACTACAATTAGCATATAAATTAATATTTAAAACAAATGTAAGCAACTGTCTACCATCCAGTACTCAATCAGTACAATCCTCTAATTAATCAACTACCACACCCAACAATATAATGAGACTACAGAATTAACTACAATCTGTCTACCAATACTGATGAGACAGAAAGAATTCTTAAAAAAGGTAGTAACAGTGTTTTCAAATTAATCTATGTGTATAGATATGTATGTGTATTGCAATTATGTCACATTATGCGCTCCTTGTAGATCATTTTTAGTATATAAGTGCCAATCCTATAAAAATGGAGTACCATTCACTTTATTCTGACACATGTGAACTGTTTCCCCTGGGGGGGGGAAAGAATCGTACAATTCACCTACATAATACTGCATTTGTGCATCCTGCTGCATTAGTTGATGGCCTCACTGTTTGTAACACCACTATTACAAGGAACAACTAAGTCACTGTTTAACCAGTATATGTGAATATTAATTGAAGAGTGTGTGTGTGTGTGTGTGTGTGTGTGTGTGTGTGTGCACGTGTGCAGTATAACCCATATAAAATCTCATAACCCAAAAATTCATCACCAAAAATAGCACAAAACTAGTGCACATGTCCTTAAGTCAATTTCATCCACCTTCCACCCTTAGTTCCCTAAGCTCTATCTTAACATTATCCTTCCATTTCCTTCTCAGTCTTCCAAATGGCCACTCTCCATTTTCCAAACTATTTTCTTATGTAATTTAAAAACTGCTAGATGTAGATGCACATCCACAGTACTTCACAGTAAGAAAGGTGGCAGCCATAAGCAACATTTCTGAGCCTTTTTTAGTTAATGTACCCCTCAGTCTCAGAGTGAAACTTCATAAACCTCTTTTCAGTTGCAACTTCATTTTATCTCAAACTACATGGGCACTCCATGAGTTGGTGTGGATGTACATGTGCAAGATGGATGGATGACTGCCTGTGTGCACTATGCCGTTGCTAACACTGTTCACGTTCCACAGACACAGACCCACTTCAAGCCACCCATGTACTGTGCATTTGTGACTGTAACCAAGGAGTCTTCTTTCATCGGTGGTGCCCTGTTTATCACTAAGTAAATGTGACGCTGGCACAAAGGAAGGCGGGACTAACAATTCACAGTGAAATAACATTGCAAATGGATGAATACGTGTAGTTTCAAAGACACTGTAAAGTGATACTTACCTAGAGCATTTGCGGTTTTTAAATTTTGCACTACATGTATTCAACAGTGCAATAAGATAATAACTGAATATTTAACAATGCCAATGACATCCACCCTACACTCCCCTTCCATAATGCCGATTTTAAGAAAGGTTTAAGATTGAACAATGCGCACAGGTGCAAAAATGGAGAACAATGACTGATCTCCTTTCATTACAGAGTATTAGTTAATAATAAAACTACTTGGAATTTTGAGCCCCCACAAGTGCTTTGTACACTGCCATATGTAACAATAATTTTAACAAAAGAAATATTCAGAAATACACTCAGAACCTTTTTGTTGTTATCTTCACATTTACTGTCCCATTACTAGTGTTCTGGACATGAAGACTTTCACTGTAATTTGGTCATAAAATATAATTTTCTAATACCGATTCTTAGATGCCATCAGAATGCAAGATGAGCCCTAATTTCATAAATTTTAAAATGTGTAGAAAGTGTATATTAGAATTCAGGAAATAATGTACTGAACACACATATTATGGCCAAAGCACTTCCGAGATCAACTTGTAATAAATCTTATATCACTGCTCATTAAGATGGAATCAGATATTTATAATTTTATTATATTATTTTTGCCAAACTACATCCATGTACAGCATCAACAAGCACACACAAACTCACAACGAAAATAAAAAAGAACAGAAGAGAAATGCAAAGAAAATGAAATGAAAACAGACAGGCTATGAAGGAGAATAAACAGTACCCAGCATCAAACAAGCATGCACTATGAACTACAACAATAAACAAGAAACATAAAATTGCACACCAATCCATAAAAGGTAACTTGAATTTGAACACATATTTTATCACATAGCGTTTTTTCAAACATGGTTTTAATACCTGACACTTCAGCTAGAATTGTGTGCATTAGTACAATAAGGCTGCACTACATGTGAATCTAAACAGCATTTTCTCAAGTCCTAGCTAGTTCTCAATATCAGAGACATGTGTAAATTTTACAATACTCAAAGCAAAAAATAAATAAATAAACAAATAAAAAATAAAATAAATTACCAGTAAGGCAATGATATATTCTCAGGCGCACAATGCCAAATTTTAGTCTATTACAATAAACTAGGAATGTCATCTAGTACAGAATTCGGCATCAGTATTGGGGATGTCTGTATATATATAGGCTGAATCACTGTCCATTTTGGAACTTTTTAATTGCACAATTATCTAATTAAATTCAGTCTTAAACACTATATGTTGCCTTTATCTGTACTAAAAATTGCTGTATGCAGATATGATGTAAAATGGGGACTTACAATAATTAAAATTCTTTAAACTCTTGTTTAGATAATTGAATTAAGTCCTTGCATATTGCATTTATTTGCAGGACAAAAATGACATGGTTATTCATACATTTCCTTCTTCCTAGTAACTCAATGAAATGTTTCCCCATGTTGTCAGCAATGAATAAAGTTCTGGTTTGTTAGTATCTTCTGAATAAATTAAAGTGATTTTATACAACTAAGAAATTACATGATATACTGATATGATGAATCCACATCAACAGTGAATAATTTTCCCTTTTATATTGTACTGATTTGTGGATATCAACATACATGTCTGTAATGAACATGCATCATTTTCTTGTTCCAAACATTTTGGCTATGCCACAGCTTAGGCAATCCCTCTGGGTTTTCGAGAAATTGGGCCAGGTACAATTCAACAGCAACTGTTATGAACAAGTCACACTGGAGCAAGTTTTTATCTGTACTTCATTGCCCTTGAAAATCGTCATTTCATTAAAATGCCACTTTTCACTGTCCCTCCTTAACAACAGTTACGACAAACTAGCATACCCCAACTAAAATCCTGTTAGGTCTTTAACTCAGACACAGCAATTGGACAGGCTCAGAGCAAAGAATTACTTCTTAGTGACAATTTTATGGATACTCAACCTGAACATGTCTATGTCTGTGACAAGATGAATGAATTGCTATAATAATTATGTATGTCAAGAATCTACCATTACACTCATGACCAAGAGACAAAATGTAAACACAAAGTTTTCAAAAATGGATTAGAATCCTGATCCTGGCACAGTCAAAGATAAGAATCCTGGTCAGCCCAGTTCCTACCAAATTCCTGATATCTTAGTGCTTCTTGGGGAAGCACTTTTCAAGTACATTAACAACACAATGTGAACAAATACCAGTAATCAGTGTACAGCAGCAACAATCAAAATTGAATAAAACAATGCATTAAAAGGGACGGGGGGGGCACGCAGTAGTGTAGTTGGTTGAGGCATTATGTTACAAGCTGGAAGGTTGCGGGTTTGATTCCTGATGAGGCTACTGGATTTTTCAATTGACCTAATCCTTCCAGACACATTATGGTCCTGGGGTCAACTCAGCCACTAACAGAAATGAGTACCAGGAATCTTCCTGGGGGTTATGGGCGGCCAGTGCATAAGGCTGACAACCTCACCACCATCTGTGAGCCAACTGTCTAGAAAATGTGGAAGCCTCCATGTTTCAGAATCCTATGGGCCTCCAAAGCCTGTTACAGGGATAGCTTTACCATTTTTATTAAAATGGAAGAACAATAAACACAAACATCAGCTAGCATCAATGGTATTAAATTGTACTATCAGAATTTATCTATGTCTTTGCTATGATATACACCTCACATTTGGTTACACAAACTTTGAATTGTACATGTACGTAGCAATGTAAACATTATTTTCACACACATTAATATCCCATATGTCACTCATCTGGCATATCCATAAAAACAAATGCAACAGCATGTTACAGACAAAATTAAGGCTAAAATTTCTCACTGAATAACCATTAAATTTGAAAAAGAATTGTAATTTTGTTTATAATTTAAGAAAGAAATGTTGCAAAGTTAGAAGAAAACCTGCATGAAATAAAAAAACATTGCTTTTACATCTTACATTCACTACAAATAACTAATCAGCTTTTTAAATCAGTTGGGTGCACATTTCTAGCACTGAATCTTTTCTGGCAACAAAATGTCTTCAATTTCCAGATTCTAGATACACTTGGTCGTCGACTTAAGACCGGCTGCACTTACAACCACAAAAAAATGAAAAATAAAAGATGATTAAAATGTAAAAGTTTTTAAAAATAAATTATAATGATTATAAAATGGTTAAAAAAGTTAAAAAATACTGTTAATAAACATATGGCTGACATGCAACCAGATCGACTTACAACTTGTCAGTCAGAACGGAAGTCGGTCGTAAGTCAATGACCAAGTGTATATATATTTTCCAACTATGGCAAGAGTCCATTTGGAAACTGTATACTACGTACAACTTACTGTTTTATAAATAAGTTCCCTCAAAATATTAGCTGAAGTTTTAATGGCAAACATATAATATTTTTTGTACTATGCTAGATTCAGGTATCAGTATATTGCATAAAGTCATTACAGATATTTTATAAAGGTGCAAAGATATGTGTGTACCACTAACCTGAATCGGACTTTCTCCTGCAGACCTCTTGGCAGGATCTAAGCTAATACGAGGAACAGGTGCATTGTGCCCCTGCAGCCACTGCACTGCAGACAACTGTGCTTCACAGCCTGTTGTATCAGGGAATAGGTCTGCATGGAAGTCTCGGTACGACTGTTCAAACAACAATATAACAGGATGCTATACAACATATTTAAGTGAACGCTTAATAGTAGACCCTTGCCAATCAACTCAATCCTAATTTAACACTACATTAATTAAACCTGGGCTGGTAATATTCAGGATTTACACAAAACTGGGGCTTCAGAAAAATCAGATGAGATGTGCCTAAAACGTATACTTCAAGGATTAAAATATACAGCCACTGCTATGCAATAGGCGAATAAACAGTGGTGTTATGCAATCTGTTTCTGGAGAATGAATCAGTAAACAAATTCCTGTGGCAACAAACATGCATGCAACAATGGAAAAACCCAATTCTAAGCAACACATCAGTAAACACACAACAACAGGGGTTGTTGGAAACAGTGTTTCATGTTCAGTCTGTGCTAAGCGGTTACAACAAAAAGTTCAGTTGAGAAAAACTGAGTCGAGTTCCAGATCTGGCAGTTGCAGCAGAGAATTGAGTCAGCAGTTGAGGGTGACTGAGAATAATGGCAAGAAAGGAATTATGCTCTAGTGGAGAGTGTAATAAACTGAAGATACTAGTGTGTGTAACAGTGACCTGTAAAGTGTGGGGATAGCAAAGTGGATAATTTTAAGTCCAGTGTGACATACAAGTCACACTGCCACACTGGACTGAAAATTATCCATTTTGTAATTAATAGTGTGTTGGACCAGAATGAGACCAATCAAATTTGTGGGGATAGCATTAGCACTTAATTGCCTGTAGTTCCAAGTTGTGTGTACAAGGTGTCACTATATCCAATCAACCGATTGAAAACCCATCTGTAAGTCATGCACAAACGCCTACACATGACAATATTGTCACAAAGTATGGGTGTGACTATAGACGGGGTATGGATTAGTGAATTGGATTAACTGGTCATCTGTACACACCACTCGGAACTATATGTACTTGCAGCGCTATTGCTAATCTCCGCATTTTACAAATCACTACAGCACCTGCTAAGCCTTTTTGCAGCCTGCTGTGTCTTCAACAGCCATTCCCTACCAATGGCTTCTAATAGTGGAGAGTCTTCAGTTTCATGCTCTCATGTTGTTACTGTCCAGCAAATGTCTTGCAACTGAACTCACTCAGCCAGAGTCATAGTCAGAGTCAGAGTCAGAGTTATTTTATGACTGGCTGTTTACCACCAATCAGTTCGTCTTGGCATCAGGCCCCTTGAGGCCCACGACCAGAGATTTTTTTTTCAACTGAACTCTTGCGGTAATAGTCCTTATGTAACATCCTCTCTGACGAGAAGATGGGTCTGTCTCTTATGAATATAGTCGACCTTTCGTCAAGTGTATATTTCGCACATAGACTATGTTATCGAAAACTCTTCCTTTTGCTTTACACAAAAGTCCTCTGTTGGTACAGGCTTTACAGAGCAGATCATGCCTAACTTACAGATCTTATGCTACAATGAAAACTTTGTCATTTGAACGGTCATAAGCTTGACCACCACCAAGTTTAAGCCTTTTACATTTTCTGTGTCTGGTTTCACCTTGTCCTATACCGCGAACATGTACTCACTCAGCAAGCCTGGAGTCTTTGCTATATAGCCTTGGGGCAGACCCAACAGAAAACATTGCCTCCAGCAGTATTTCTATTGTTGCCATGGGCAGCTGCATAGCGATAGCCCAGATATCATTGATGTGTTTACCAACCGCTATCAAGCAACACACATTCCTTCTCGTGATCATCGCGTAGAAACAATACTACATGGTACAATATGTAAATAATGACGTATACTAACACTATGTCACTAAACATTGTGCTGAACCCTCCAATCTTCACAACCTACCTGTATAAGATTTGTTTAAATAATAGTCCCCTAACTCCATAAGCTCTCTGTGTGGATGTTTTCAAGAGAACAGATTTCCCATTATGTGCAAATAAAACAAACTGCACATTCAGATATTTATATCTGATGACACTAACACTGACAAATAGGCAAAACCACAGTACACCAAATCCTAAATGTATGAAAAGTACTGGAAGAAGAGACATTCAGCAGTTACTCATAGTCCTGTAATATTGAAACTGCACACATTCCAAAACCTCTTGTCAACTTGAGCAACTGACCAGCTAACCAGCTGACTGACATATATTCCTGTGCTGAGACCCCACTCAATGTTGTCTACATAGTAAATGATAACTTTGTTTTCCTGAAGAAGGATTATTATTATTATTATTATTATTATTATT